GTGTATCTGGACTCCAGCAAAGCCTTTGGCACTGTCCCACAGCACACTCCTGGAGAAGCTGGCAGTCCATGGCTTGGACAGGAGCACTCTTTGATGGGCTAGGAACTGGCTGGATGGCTGGCCTAGAGAGGGATGGTGAACGGTGCTGCATCCAGCTGAGAGCCAATCACCAGTGGTGTCCCTCTGGGGTTTGTACTGGGATCAGTTCTATTTAATATTGTTATAGACGACACGGACGAGGGGATTTAATCTTTCATTAGTAAATTTGTACACGACACTAAGCTGGGAGCTTGTGTTGATGTATTGGAAGGAAGGATGGCTCTGCAGAGAGACTAAGATCGGTTGGATGGATGGGCAGAGTCCAACAGCATGAAGTTTAATAAGTCTAAGTGCCAAGTTCTACATTTTGGCCACAAAAATACCCTACAACATTACAAGCTGGGGACGGTGTGGCTGGACAGTGTTCAGGCGGAAAGGGACCTGGGAGTGCTGGTTGACAGCCAGTTGAATATGAGCCAGCAGTGTGCCTTGGTGGCTAGGAAGGCCAATGGCATCCTGGCCTGCATTAGGAATGGTGTGGTCTGAAGGAGCAGGAAGGTCATTCTTCCCCTGTACTTGGCACTGGTGAGACCAGGCATCCTGAGTACTGTGTCCAGTTCTGGGCCCCCAATTTAGGAAGGATGTTGAGATGCTTGAGCGTGTCCAGAGGAGGGCAACAAGGCTGGTGAGGGGCTTGGAACACAAGCCCTATGAGGAATGTTTGAAGGAGCTGGAGAAGAAGAGGCTTAGAGGTGACCTTATTGCTCTCTGCAACTTCCTGAAGGGAGCTTGTAGACAGGTGAGGATCGGTCTCTTCCACTGGGCAGCAACTGACAGAACAAGAGGACACAGTCTCAAGCTACGTCAGGAAAAGTATAGGCTGGATATTAGGAAAAAATTTTTCAGCGAAAGAAGTACTGGAATGCTCTTCCCAGGGAGGTGGTAGAATCACCATCTCTGGATGTGTTTAACAAAAGACTGGACGTGGCACTTGCTGCTATAGTTGAGGTGTTAGGGCATAGGTTGGACTTGATGATCTTAGAGATCTCTTCCAACCTCATTATTCTGTGACTCTGTGACCTGGGATCACCATGAGGAACCTGGAAGGAGCTAGGGCTGGAACTGGGCTGTACTGGGAGGCACTGGGACCACACCCACCTGGAAGTAGCGCCCCTGGTGGAGGCAGCCACAGGTCTGGGAGGATGCAGCGGCCCCGTGGAACAGCAGCCCCTCGGCGCACTGACACCCCTCACAGCAGCGCTCACTGCAGGGGGGTGGGGCCGACACACCTGCACAGGTGTGCTCACAGGTGCAGGCACACAGCTGGTAGTGGCTCTTGGTGGGGCAGGTGAGAGCTGGGAAAGGGAGGGAGGAAACAAAGGGGGTCAATGGGGAGCAGTGGGGCTACTGGGGGGTCATCTGGGGTCAATGGGTGTCTCCTGGGATCAATGCCATCCCATCTTTGGGGTGGGTGGTCCCAAGGGAAATCCATGAAAATACGAGATAAAAGAAAAAATGCAGAAAAAAGGGCAAAAGTGCAGAAGAATAGGGAAAACAGTGAACAAATTGCAAGGCAAAGGGACATACATGCATACCTTCCCTATAAATAAGGAAAAAAAGGAGAAATGCAGGAAAAAAATACATAAATGTAAAAAAATAGAGGGGAAATGCTGGGGAAAAGTATAAATATAAGAAAACTGAGAGAAAATGCAGAAAAAGAAATACAAATGCATAATACAGAGAAAAATACAGGCAAGAAAAATATGTAACTGCCTAAAAATAGGGGGAAGAAAGGAAATGCAGGGGAAATATGACATAAAAATAGGAGGATGGAAAGGCGAAAAATGCTAGGAAAAGGAGAAAGAAAAATAGGGAAAAATGCAAGAAGGTGTAAATGCATAGGAAATAGGGAAAATGGGGGGGAAATTAATTTTTAAAATGTAAATACATTTAGCCAAGAAAAATAAAGAAAACCCCATGGAAAAAGAGGCAAATGCAGAGGAATATGAGAGAAAGGAAAGCAGATGCAGGAAAAATATAGGTAAGGATATAAAAATAAAAGAAGGAAGAACAAGGAAAAATGAAACAAATCCATAAAAATAGGGGGGAAATGAAGGGAAAAAAGACACAAATTACTAAAAACAGGAAAAAAGGCCAGAAAAAGTACCTTATAGTATTCCCCATCCCAAAGCATCCACATTAATCTTAGGGAACGCATCTGTGTCCGTCACAGACAGAACCCTGGTGGCACTGGCAGCCCTCGATGCATGTTTGGGGGCAGGTTGTGGTATTTTGGGCACAGATGTTGGCACAGGTGTTGGTGCTAAGGGAGTAGGTGCTGTTGACTGGGCAGGTGAGGGCTGGAGTTTTCATGGAATCATGTATTGATTTGGGTTGGAAGGGACCTTAAAGCTCATCCCATCACCATCATCCCATGTCCTGCGTGTCACCACTGTCACCCAGACCCAAACAAGGAACATTCCCCACCTGTGCGCCCCCCAAACTCCAGTATCACCTGGAGATCTTCCCAACTCCAAACAGGTGACATTTGCCCCTGTGCCCTCCCAAATTCACGGCAGAAGGATGATGTCCTCCAAGCCCCCACAGTGACTCTGGCACCTTGGCATGCAGTGACATAGCTCTGGATACTCTGGCACAGGACATGTGTGTCCCCTTCCCTCATACAGTGGTCATGGATGCAGGATTGGGAATATGGGATGGGGTCAATGATGCAATGGCAGGAGCCAAAGGGACCTTCAGGGGCCGTGAGGAGGCCACAGTAGCTGGGTTTTTGCAGGATTGCCACTTCTTCCTCTGTGCATGTGGGACACTCACCCTTGGGACAGGTGTTATCACAAGGTGTATCTGTTGTTTTCCATGTGGATCCAAAGGCTGTTGCATCTGGAGCCAGCTGGCCACTGGAAAGCTGGAAATCATCATTGCATTGGCCATTGTGGTTGCCACAGAAGCCACACAAGCACCCCATGTAGGTCTGGGGGACTGTGACCATCACGTGCTGGACGAGGTCATAGTGGACAATGAGGCTGAAGTCAGTGCGGAGCAGGACACCTGTCCCATGTGGGTAGACCTGGACCTGTCCCTCACTCAGGATGGTGGGGAGATAGTGACAGATGGAATCCACCTGGGATAGAGTAGGAAGAGTCCTCCAGCGAGGAGGTGGGACCAAAAATTTGGGGAAAACACCTTCCAAATAATATTCTGATAGATTTGTGGATCCCACTTGGAAGGAAAAGTTCAGATGAGAAAGGATTAGTCTTGGAGATAGGGTGAGGGCTCCCCTCACCAAGGAAACAGAGTTTCAGGGTTGATAGGAGCTAGAATGAAAAATTTAGGGAAAGCAGGTTCCAACCAAGGTTTTAATGCATTTACAGATCTTGCTTAGAAAGAAAAGTTGGACTGGAATTGGAGATAGGCTGAGGAGTGCCTTCCATCAAAGAAACTCAGTTTGGGGGGATCCCATGAGATTTGGAACATGAAGTGCCTTACCATGATGTCAGCCCATTTTCTGTGTTTCAAGGTCAAGGTGACCCCATAGACTTCCACAGACAATGCTTGGATCCTGGGGACCTTCCCCTTCTGCTGCTCCTCCTTCTAGATTGTGACAATAAATGATGTCACATTGTCACCTGTACTGTCACAGACATCTTTTCACTAAAAATCCCTTCTTTAGGATTTTTCCTTCTGAGAAGCTAAGAGGCCTGAGAGACAGAATGTAAACAATGGTTATCTGCTGCTGTGGAATGCAACAGGTCCACCTGTGATTGGCCCATCTTGGATGGTTATAATGAATGGCCAATCAAGGACCAGGCTATCTCAGACAGAGTCCAAGAGAGCTGCGTTTGTTATCATTTTTTTATTTTCTATTCTTTTCTATTCTATTCCCAGATGTTAGCATCTGGGAAAACCTGTCCTCCTTTTTCTTTTTAGTATAGTCATAATGTAATATATATATATATCATAAAATAATAAATCAAGCCTTCTGAACATGGAGTCAATATTCTCGTCTCTTCCCTCATCCAAGAATGCCTGTGAACACGGTCACACTGTACCGGTCTGGGTGAGGACATATGAGTAAGTACCAGCGATGTTGAAGGCCATCCCATCAAAGGTGACATAGGTGTGGTCCCTTGTGGCCACACAGGTGCTGGACACCTGCGAGGTACACTGGAAGACATCACTGACAACCTTCCCATGGCCAACATGACAGGAAGTATTTTGGCACTTCACAGTGCCACCAGAGAGGCACTGGCACATCTCCTGCTCTGTGGGGTAGAATGTCTCCCCCTCTTTGTAGTAGACTCCATGGTGGCTGCAGCTGCAGTGGGACATGGGCACACACTTGTCGACGCCATCCTGACACATGCAGCCCTCGTGGCACTGCCCTTGGCATGTGGCAGAGTCAGCGCCGCAGGTGTGCTGGCAGGTGTGCGAGCAGAGCTCATTGGAGCTGTTGGAAGGACAGGGAATATCTGCCAGGAGACAATGGGATTCATGAGGAACCAGGAAATTCCAAGCCAAATCCTGGAAGTTTCCTGGAATTCAAGTGCAAACTTCACCTAATACAGAGCTTTTTAGCCCATGGCAAACTTGATTTTCATCCCTGTGCACATGACAAGGGGCATCATCAAATGACAATCCAACGATTATCTGATGATGATCCAATGATCATCCATAAGGAATATGCCATCCCATTACAATAGGAATTCTTCCTCTAAACCACACGATTTCTCACATTTTTATGGCGAAAAATGAAATATTCACTCAAAGAATGGGATTGCTCCACACTGGGTCCTCAACTGACCTCCAGGCTGGATCCCTTTAACCCAATTCCACTATTTTTAGTACATTTTTTGGTGGTTCTCCCTCTAAATTATCCACTTTGTAGCCAACACCAGGAAATTGGAGATTTTGAGGGGGTAAGGTATTCCAGATGAGACAACTTCTTCCTTAGGAAGGGTTTATTTTGGGTGAATTATGGGATCAACCAAGACTTTGGGTGGGATTCCCATGCGCCTCTGGGTTGTTCATACATAGATTTGGAGCAGACTTGAGGATCCTTTGTATACTGCTGAAGGAAAAACCCTCCCATTGTCCCAATTTACAGTAGAAATTATCTGTCCTCCACCTCTCAATGGACACACCAGCAGCCTGGCATGTGGTGGCGTAGAGGGCAATGATTGGACACATCCCTTCTTCCTGATCAGGGAACAGGCAGGAGTCATGGATGCAGCTTTAGAAGTACTGATGGCCATCAACATGACCATGACATCCTCTAAAGAGTCCATCCACTTCCAAAATAATTTCACACCCCATCTCAGAGACTTCCTGCTGCAGCCAGGAAGGTGCAAGGGTGCTGGAACATTCCACTGTTGACCTCTCACCACATCCTGGGACATCTGTGACCTTCCAGCTGCTCCTGAAGGCATCTGGGTCTGACGTCACATGGTTGTTCCTCATCATCATGTCATTGCTTGCAGTGCCATTGTAGTTCCCACAGAGCCCACACAGGGCATTGGTGAAGCCACTAGCACCATGGTGGTGATGTGGCTGTACCAGTCATAGGTGACAACAAGGCCAAAATTGGTCACTTCCACCACGTCCTGCCCGTGACAATAGACAACAATCTTTCTTTCACTGTAGTGCTACGGGAGATTGACCAACTGCTCATCAGTCTGGGGAGAAAACCATAGAAATTGATCAAATTGGCAGACTGAGGGTAAACTATTTTCAACAGCCAGAGCAATCAAAAAGTGTCGATTTAATTAAATTTTGAATTGAATTAAATTTTTGATTGAATTAAATTTTGGATTTAAGAGAATGAGAAGGACCAAGTCCCAAAAGGAGGTTGATCAACCACTCATTGATCTGGAACAAATGATGTTGATTTAATGACATTTCAGATGTTCATGGGATGAGGTGGAGAATGTGATGAAAAGATAAGGGATCATTTCCTAAACTCACCATGATTTTTCCAGCATGTTCCCTGCTGATGCTGATGGTTTTCTTGTAGACTTTGACTGTCACCACGGCAATGGACGACACGAGGTTGTCACTAAGGTGGCCATTCTGCACCAACACCTGGCATCCCACCAAATTTTGGGTGTCCTCAGACAACCCTACCAACACGTAAGACACACATCCCCTGGAAGATGAATGCCTTGCCATCAAAGGTCTCATAATGGGTGGCTCCGACAGCAGTGCAGACCCCAAAAATTTTGGGATAACAATCCTGGATATCCTCCTCCATCTGGCATCCCTCTTCAGTGCCACAACCAGAATCCCAGCACACTGTCTGCCGCTGCTCTGCGTCACACACACAGTGTTGGATGCAAGGGAGGTCACTCCAAAATTCCTTGCCAAGGTCATAGAAGAAACCCTGAAAGACACAACCACATTCAGAAGGGGCGATTCAGGTGTCGGCATCAAGGACAAGGCCCTCGTGGCACATGGAGGTGTCCACGCAGGTGCTGACAGCGGCACAGCTGGATGACACAGCAGGGATGTTGCAGGTAGGGAGGCAGGCAAGGCCTCAGGTGCTGTAGGGCGGGCAAATGAGAGCTGGACAGGGAGGGAGACAGCGGTCAAGGTGGGGCAGTACATAGTGGGACAGACTACTTTGACTATCTGCACAGATACCCTGCAGATTCCATGGATTTTATGTAGTCTCCATGGACCTTCTAGGCCTTCTACCTGGACTTTCTGGAGTCTCGGCAGACTTCCTGCTCAGACTTTCTAGAGACTCCACCAACTTTGTGGACTTTCTACATGGACTTTCTGGAATCTCCTTGGAGTTCCATGGATTTCCTGCTTGGATCTTCTGCCATGGTCTTTCTCAACCCATGATCCCATGGGTCTTTAGTCCCACATCAATTAGCCTCCACCCACCCCAAGGAGTATTTTCACTCAACCATCCTCTATTCACAACATTCCAACTCTTTCCTCCAATGGGAAACATTGATCCTCTTCTCCTGGCAGTCATCAGCATAGTTCTTGAAGGCATAGCACAGCACATTGCGATGCCCCTCATTGGCACACAGGTCATAGATACAGTTCTTCACATAGATATTGGGACTGATAGTGTCATGACACGACTGGAATGGCCCAGAATGTTGGGACAACTTCCCACACCAGGTCTCTGCCTTGTATGTCACCACCTGGTCCCATCTGCACCGCCCACAGTCACCATCACAGGTGTCCTGGCAGTGGCCACTCTCACTGGTCGCCTTCCAGCTCCACCCAAACTCCACAGTATCTCACATTTGTTTTCCATCAGGAGAGAGAGTGTCATCTTGGGGATCCCCATTGTTTTTCCCACACATTTCGCAGACTTTTCTAGAAAGAGCAGCCGGAAGTTTGATCACTACACGATCATCCCAGCTGTAGAGGACCTTCAGCTTGAAATTTGATTGAATCAACATGGATTTACCCTTCTGGTGGATGCAGACCTTCCTGTGGCAGAGGAAAATGGGGAGGCACAAGCGGTGGTTGCTCACCTGTAGGACAACAACCATCAAAACAACCAAAATCCATCAAAACTGGGCATGGAGTTCAAGAAGACTAGAAGTGTTTTCATACAAGGGTTACCTGCATACCAGCAAATCTGGGAATTATTTAGGAAAAGACCCTCAAGATCATTGCTAAATATGTAATTTCAGCAAAATTTTAAAAAACTGGGAAATTATGATGGTTTTTGCTTACCCTCACCATACCATTCTCTGACTGGACAGCAGTGACAGTGACGTTGTTGACTTGGATGGTGATGGAGCCAATGGAGGAAACTTTGGAGTTCTCCTTTTTCCTCCTTTTTGACCTCAACAGAGGAAGTAGGAAGGGTGGGATCAGGATTGCAGATGGTGGTCATGGTGTAGGCCCGCGATCCCATGAAATCAAAGGTTTTTCATCAAAACTGCAGTAGTGTGGCCCACCAGTGAGCCAACAGGTGGAGAAAGTCTCCTGGATGCACTCTGGTTGTCCATCCACCATCTCACACCTCTCGCATACCAAATCCTCACAGGAGACTGCTGTGGGGACTGAAAAAGAGGGGAAAACCCATGAATGGTCAACTGCACAACACTCAACCATTGGGGTGACACAACAATTGACTCACTTTACTCACTGGCAGCACAGAGCCCCAGGAAACCATATCCAGTGTGAGTCTGGAACCCAGACACCAGGAGCCCAATGGGCACCTACGAGTTCTCAGCACTCTGCATCATTGCACTCATGGTGATGCTGGCCCAGGAGAAATCTGTGCCAGGAATGGCCTGCCATGCCACTGTGTTGTCTGGCCAATGGTTGAGGGTGGTGGTGGCAGTGGTAGTGGTGGGTGCAATGAGGATGGCATGGCTATACTGGCTGGGCACACTGCTAAAGCGGAATGCAGTGCAATGGGCGGTGACAGGTGGGACAAGAAGGAGGAAGGGATCTTGCCAAGATGACCCACTGAAGAAGAACACCAACTGCACTGCCACCACTGCACTGATCTACAGGTGGGAGTTATGGTTCACTGTTGACGATTTTTGCAGGTTGAGGAGTTTTTGCAAGACAATGGCCACGTTCAGCCAATGCACAATCGAGCCTGCTTGTAATAATGGACAATGGACACGTTCACAAACAATGGATAATGGACATATTCAGAAATGGGGTCGGTATGTCCTTGAAAAAGATACAAGAAGAAGAGTCATCAGGACTCAGCAAGTTTGTCAGCAAGCTTGAGAAAGGGAGAAAAAAGAGACAGACAACCACAGCAAGACGTGTGAAAAATTAGATGATCCAATCAGACAACCACAGCAAGACGTGTGAAAAATTAGATGATCCAATCAGCATTCCATTTTAGATACGTGAACAGCTAGGATTAACCAATCATGTATTAGCTATACATGATTGTGGGTGGGCCAGACAACCACAGCAAGATGTGTGAAAAATTAGATGATCCAATCAGCATTCCATTTTAGATACGTGAACAGCTAGGATTAACCAATCATGTATTAGCTATAGACACGTGAACAGTAGAAACTTATTATAAATATAGTCCTTTTAGGGATAATAAATTTGGCTTCACTGGATCATATTGGTTATGGCGTGATGTCCCTGAACCTCTGCACCCCACAGTTCACCATGAATGTCTGCACCTCCCTTGTTGCCATGGCCACAGTGGCATTCCTGCTCCCAGTATTGTAGTTGACGGTGTTGTCTTCATCCGTCACCACATAAACAAAATCAGCCTCTGTCTGCAGTGGGTTGGGTGGCACCACGTAGCTCCTCCCCCACACTGTCATTGGGAGGAACTGCTCCACCACAAAGTCAAATCCAGCAGATACCTTGACACAGGTGTGGCCACTGAGGACGACCACAGGGGTGTCGGCCACCACAACTGTGCCAGTGAAGTCCTGGCTGCTCTGGAGCTGCAGGCTGTGGTAGGGCTGCAGGAATAGGCGGAGCACGGCAACGGGGATGTATGTGGCCCCAGCAAAGTGGAAAGTGGTGCTGGTGCTGATGCTAAGAGTGATGGTGGTGGGGTCAGTGGCCACCATAAACTCAGTCAGGCCGCAAGTTTAGTTCCCAACCGGTGTCACCACATAGTACCTGATGCCCAGGCTCTCCATAGGTAGGAAGGCAATGGCATCCACAGTGTAGCCATTGGTACTGACAGACGTCACAGAGATGTCAGCACTGGCCTCAATCACCAAGGTTTTATGGGAAGTGTGGCTTCCAGTGAGTTCCAGGGTAGCAGGAAAGGGCAAGGGCACAGTGACATCTGGTCTCAGGGTGGTGTTCTGGGTGATGGAGCTGCCACAGAGCATCCCCGACACCTGGGTGTCAGCAGGGCCATAGAAGGCGAGCAGCAGCTGCAGGTACGTGCTGGGGGACTCGTTGTCGTTCTGTGGGATCACAGCATGGAACTCCCAGCCCCGGTAGCTGGCACTGGAGAGTGCTGGGAAAACAGGGGGAAAAGAGGGCCTTGGTTAATTTTTATATTAACCAAGGGGGTTATACAAAGGGGGCTTTTAGATTTTTATATCAATTTTTTTAGGTCAATTCTATATGTGTTTATACATCAATTTTCCTATTTTACAGGAGGAATTGTACTGAAATTACATTAAAGATATGACTGCACTATCCAATTTATAGAGTCTATTTTTATATATTGTCAAAATAGAAATTCTATTTGCAGTTTGTTATTTTAATAAACAATATTTGTCTTCTATTAACAAATTATTAAAATATATCAATGTGTTAATAATATGAAATAATGTATTATTAACTAATACTAATTATATAAAATACTATTCCTTAATACAACAATATTACTAGATATTTATATTATTATACCCTGTGTTCATTATATATTAATGGTATCATGTAATATAATTTAGTATATTACTACTTACTAGCACATTGATAAAATATTAATAATATAGGGCTAATATATCAGTAAAAATATGCCAATCACATTTTAGCCTGTTATTGTAGTATTATACTTGTTATCCATCATATAACTTAGTTATATAGTTTTCTATGTTATTATTATAGAGATCTATTAATTATAACACTGTGATATACAATACTTACATTTAAATACATAGAAGTACTTTTTCTATTATTTTGTACTTAATTTTGATAGAAATATCAGCAAAGATTTATTCCAAAACCATAAATATTAAAAATAATTAAAGTAATATAATAATAAATGATGTAGCTATTGAACTTATTTCCGTATTAATCAAAGTAGAAAATAAATTAACGTATTTTTATAAATCTATACATCAGTAGATGATTTATATTTTCTCTACAAAATTATACAGATAACGATTTAAAATAATTTTATTGATTGTTTTCATAGAAACGGTTTGGGAAGAAATGGCAAAAATCAAGCAAAAATAAGCAATGAGGAGCACAATTACAAAGTTAGAGAGTATACTAGAGACTAGAATAGAATTAATATACCATTATATTATACTATATTGCAATATAATCTATCATTATATGTAATTAATATAACAATTATGATAGTGGATAGGACATTCTAACACAAAATATTATATATATATACATAAATTGCATAGTTATAATACATTATAATATATAATAACATAATTCATATAATATTATGCAACTTCATGCCATATTACATTGTAAATTATTCTTTAATTGCATTATGTAATTACATTTATAGTAATTTATATATATTCTATAGTTTATAATTATCTCTTAATAACTAGATATAGTTATATATAATAGGAATATAGTGCTATATTAATAAATGCACTATTATATGAATAGAAAATATATTACATGTTTTTATAGTTCACATCTTTTGTATGTCCATATAACTTTTAATTTATTATTATTATTATTATTATTATTATTATTATTATTATTATTATTATTATTATTATTATTATATACTGATTTTTCACAGAAATTTTTATTAAAAATGCAAATCAAGAATAATGATAATACCAACATAATTACAGCAGAGTAGATCATATGTTGAATTTTCTATATAATTACAGTGGAGACTATATTATACATTCATATGGAACAACTGTAGTGGATGTATATTATTAATTTAACCACAACATATAAAAATATAAAAATGTATTAATAAGCAATTATTGTCCTATTAATCAATATTATGCTATTAAGTTACACTATTAAATATTATTATTAGGCAATTAAAATTGTACATATTTGGTATAAGATAAAATGTATATAGAAAAATATATAAAATATCCAGAAATATGTAAAAGGAAAACTAAACAAAAAATATTGTAAAAAGATCAAAAATATTTTCAGAGTTTTTTTTAATGCTACAAAAAAACCAAAATGGCTGTTTTTTGCCTCAAAAGAGGTTAAAAAGAATGGGTATCTTCTCCTAATAAAAAGAAAAAAACCAAAAAAAGAAAAAAAGAATTTTTGAGATTGTCAGGGAAAAAAAAACCAGGAAAATGAGATAAAAATTTATTAAAACTCGGTGTATATATAAAAGCCCATCATAAGAGGTTTTTTAATTTAAAAAATAGGGAATTGAGGATGGTAGATTAAAAAAAATTCTGGTGATTTTTTCTGAAAAAAATTGAAATCAAGTGTTTTGGGGGGAAAATAGGGAATAATGAGGTTTGACTATCAATAAAAATAGGATTAAAGGGGCCTTTCTGAAATAATATATGAAAACTATTTGCTTTTTTTAAAAAAGGGGATTTTGAAGAAAAATCAAGAGGGACGTGAGCAATTGGGATTTTAAGAATTACAACAGAGTGAGTTTTTTTTCTTTAAAAATAGCTGAAACTTAAAACAGAATTCAAGAGGGCTTTTTTCCTTAATGAATAAATTTTTAAAAGAAAACTAAATAAAAAAAAAAGAAGAAACAAGAAAATATTAAGGGAATATAAAGGGTTTTTTTTAATTTAAAACACTATCTAAAAAATTGGGCTGATAATTTTCTCAATGAAAATTAGAAAAAAACCAGGAAAATAAGGAATAAAAGGGTTTTTTTATTTTTCCTTAAGAATCAACTGCTTTTATTAAAAAAGAGCAAATAAAAGGACTTTGTTTTTTCATTTATAAAAACCTTTTAAAAATAGATCTTTTTTCCCTGGGAAAAAAATACAATTCCAGCATATAGATCTTGCGGTTTTGTCCTGGTAAAACACTAAAACTGAACATTAGAATTTTAGCTAAAAACAAAAAAAAACCAAAGAAAAACCCCACCAAAAAAACAAACCAAAAAGTAAACAAAAATACTCAGGACAAAGTGCACTTTTTTTTCCCATGAAAATTAATCAGGCATTAATTTTCTTTTCAAAAAGAAGAAGATTATAAAGGCTTTTGGATTAAAAAAATATTTCAAAATGGGATTTTTGGTTAAACATAATAAATCTGTTGCTGAGAGGTTGTTGGAAAAATGCAGAATGGGGGAAGAACAGAATTTTCAGGCAAAAACAAGCCCAGGGGTTCAGGATTTCATCTTCTGTGCTAAAAAGTCTGGAAATGAGTAAAAAATCCAAGAAATTTGGGGATTTTTCATGGAAAACAGGAATTTTATTTACCACAGAAGGGAAGGAGGAGCCATCAGATCCCGTCTTGTGCCACCCCTGTAAAAAAACACCAAAAACCACTAAAACCTGTTCTTTTGTGGGAAAAATCCATGTGAGCCCTGAGGCTCCAGAAGCCTCAAGTCACCCCCCAAATCACCCCAAAATGTCTTTTAATACCCTAAAATACCTTTTTTCACCCCACAGAAACCTCCTGGGACTTACTTTGGCCCCCACTGCCCCCAAGTCCACACCAAACATGCCAAACTCTAAAAAGTTTGTACAAAATTCCCCAAGTTTGGATCAAAATTGTTTTTCTTCCCAAATTCTCCCACTTTGGGTCAAAGTATTTTTTCTCCCAATCCCCCCCTTTCGGTCAAAATGGAATTAAACAGGGATTAAATATCCCTCCCCCCATTCTGCTCCCCACCTTGAGGCCACATCAGATTCTCCATCTATATCAGATTCACTCCAAAACCAGATGAATTTTAACTAAAATCACCTGGATTAATGTCAAAATGCTGACACAGCCCTCCCACCAACCCCTGATGCCCACTCCGTACCCCATTTCCACCAAATCCACACTAAAATTTCATGGAAAGGATGAATTTTTCCCCAATTCTCCCCACCCAGTTTTGGTATATGGATATTTTTTTTTGCCCAACATCCTCCAAATTTGGATCAAAATGGGGCTCAACATCCAGGAAAACTCTTCACTCACCTTGTCCCACACAAACCCTCCCAAATGCTCAATTTGGCCTGAAAAAGGGGAAGAGAAAACCCACCAAATTTTGGACATGAAGAGGGAAAAAAAATCTGAAATTTGGAAGAAAAGTGCACAAAAAGGGCAAACCCCTGAGATTTGGGGGGGAATGGGCAATTTTATTTTTTGTTTAATGTGGAAAAAAGTGTTTGAAACCCAACATTTTAGAAGAAAAATGATGGAACTTTTGGGGAAAAGAGAGAAAATGGTCCTAAAATTGGGGAAGGGAAAGGGTAAAAAAATCTGAAATTTGGGCAGAAAAAATCCTCAATTTCTGCCTGTCACTAAACAATAAGGAAAACCAGGAATAAACAGGGAATGAAGCCTCCCCACTCTTCCCTACTCACTGGCCCCTTGGCTCTTGAATTCCTGGGTTTCTGCAGACACACAGTGTTCCAAAGCCACTCCTTTTATACCCAAATAAAAAATACTCAAGTCACAGCCAAACCATGCAGATTTGGGCAGATTCAGCAGAATTTCAGGATGGGGACAAGGGGCATGACCCACAGTTCCAGAGAATTTGGGAGCTGGCAGCTGGATCCTGTCACAGATGGGAAATGATGGGAGTGGAACCCTCAGGACATTTGATACATGTGAGTGACAGGGATGTCGTGAGAGGTGTGGGACCCACAGCAATTATCCCAAATTCCCTGAACTCCCAGAATCACTGTCCCCATGGTAGCCTCTGCCCCACAACACCAGGGAAAGGACAGACCAAATCCAGACGTTTTTTACCCAAAATTAATGACCCAAGTCCCAGCAAGGAATTCCAGGGTATGGGAAATTCTGGCCCAAATGACTGAAAAAGCTGAAGAAAACCACCTGGAGTCAGGAGAGATGATGGCAAACAGGGAATTAAAGGGCTTTTGCCTTAAAATGAAGACATAAAAATGGGGAAAACCTGAACCCCACAGAGACGCTCAAAACTGTCCAGAGACAGAGACTCCACCCTCAAAGCCACCCAGGGACCCCCAAAACTACATGGGGATCCCCCAAAACTACGCAGGGATCCCCTCAGCCCTCTGAACCTCCCAAACCACAAGGTCCCTGGAGGGCCGTGGGGGTCCCTGGAAGGGTTTTGGGGCTCCTGACAAGTGACATGGAGAAGAGAAATTTTCAGCTGCCCTGAAGGTGCTGGATGGAGCTTAAAGACTAACAGGCAAGGATGTAAAGGTATGTACAGAGCATCACAAGCACTGGAGCCAGTGGACAAATAGGTAATGAGGAATATAGTGGGGCTTTTATCAAGTTACGTAACTGGACATGCCCAAGGAAAACGTTCAAGGAAAGGTCACGTGTAATATGGAAGCATTCTGTGAATATGACCACCAGAGACCTGTTCGTGGTCCCTCCAGGACCATACCCTGTGGCAAAGTTTCACCGCACACATCAGATTAAAGGAGAAATCCTTCATTGTGTTCTGTACAGATAAAGAACGCCTGCTTTCTAATGCTTCAAATTGTGCTAGAAAGTGTATTTGCCAGCCAGTTTTGGTATCATTCCCTTGCACGGGCTTACGGATCTAAGGTGAGCTGAGAGAGTCCTGCCGGGCTTTAGGAGGGTTTGGAGTTCCTAGGGGAGATTTGGGGGGTCCATGGGGAGACTGGGGGTCTCTTGTCAGCGGGATCCCAGCTCTCTGCCACTTTAACCAACCCGAGGGCCTCCCAAACCACACTGGGACCCCCTCGACCCTCCTGCACAGCCAAGTCCTTTCTAGGACACCCAGAACCACACCAGCCTCCCTCCACCCCAAACCTTTCCCTGGGAATCCCAAACAACCTCTCTGAGACCCTCAAAACCACCCCACTGACCCCCAGAACTCCCTGGGCATCTCTCAACATCCCCAGACCCGGAAACCCCTCCAGGAACCCCCATTTATACTCCAAGGCCTCCCTCGGCGCCTCCAGAGCCCCCCAAACCCCTCCGCGCATGCCCAAAGCCTCCCACGGACCCCTCCCCTGCCCCGCCGCGCTCGGCGGCGCCGCCGCTTCCTGCCTTCCCCCTCCCCCGCCTCCCATTGGCCGCAGCGCCCGCCCGTCCCCGCCCTGAACCAATCAGCGCCCGAGCTTGGAGCGCTGGGGGAAACCAAACGAGAGCGCGGGCGATGGAGCGGGTGAGGCCTGAGGGCTCCAGAGGGGACCGAGGGGGGAATTTGGGGGCTCAGGAGGGCTCCGCGTCACTTCCCGCATTCCTCCCGCAGAAGCTCAGCCTGGAGCAGCGAACGGAGCGTCTGGTGCAAAGGAGGTGGGAAAGCAGCCCGGCCTCAAGTGCCCCTCGGGATCCCCAAGTGCCCCCTAGAGGCCCCAGTCTGCTTCCCCGTTCCCTCAGTGTTGTCCCGGAATCCAAGTGCTCCCCAGACCCCCAAATGCCGCCTCAGACCTCTAAGCGCCTGCTAATTCCCTCCCTTGCCCCGGTGATCCCCCAGGAACGCCTCGGGGTCCCCCAGTTACCCCACCCGAGCCCAGGTGATGCCCCAGACCCCCCATTATGCCCATAAGTGCATCCCGCAGCCCCTCAAAGTCCGCCCGAGACCATCAGTCCCGCCGGGTCAGTGCAGGGTGAGCATTTCGGGGGTCCTCGCCCCTCCCCAACCTTCTCCTCCCCTCACCAGCCAGGCCCTGCTAAAGCTCCGCCCCTGCGGGCCGGAAGGGGCGAAGCCTCTGCTTGGCTCCCCTGCCTGCAGCTCCACGCTCGATGACCCCCTCGTCGAATGGCGCTTGAGGCGGTGCCGAGGGGAGGAGCCAGCTCTGGACACGCCCCTGGTGGGCAGGGCCCTGCTGGGCTCTGCTGCTGCCCGGGGGTCCCTGCAGGGAGAGCCACCCGGGAGGTCACGTGACCCACCTGAGGCGCCATGGCCATTTGGGAGACACTTCTGCAAGCACCAGGGGGCGTCTTCACCCCAGGCTCTCTCCCAGGAACCCTTGAGGCAGGATCCATGTTGGAGGCCACCTGACTCCTGCAAGACGGTCTGGCCAACGAGGAGCAGCTCTCTGGATACCCTACAGGGGGCACTATACTCACAGTCACGTGGCTCCCACCATGCCCCGCGGCAAATCAGCAGCAGCTGCTGTGCACCTCTGCACCAGGGGGCACCACCCGGTGGGAAACGAGACTCCCATGAGCCTTTGCTGCAGGAGCCATTTGGGGGGGCACATGACTGCCTCGGCGCTCTGTGGTGTGCCCTATGTTGGAAGTCACGCGGCTCTCAGGATGCCCTGTGGCCTGCAAGGGAGGTGCTTCCTCAGCCCCCACGCCAGGGAGGGCCCGGCTTGAGGTCACTTGACCCCCGTGAGGCCCCACAGCCAATCCGGAGCAGTGCATGTGATGCCCTAAAGGGGGCGCCATGGCAGCAGCCACTGGGTGAGGCACCAGAGGAGCCTTTGAGGGTCATGGGGGTCACTTAAAGGGTGGGAGCTTTTGAGGATCATAAGGCACCTTTGTGGGGCTGGGGGGCATTTGTGGGTCAGAGGGGTCACTGGTGGGCCTGGATGCGCCCTTTGGGGCCAGGGGGTCACTGGTGGGGCTAGAGATTCCCCTGTAGGGTTAAGGTGGTCATTTGTGGGCCAGGGGCAGTCACTCGTGGGGCAGGGGTTGCAATTGTGGGTCAGGGGACACTTGAGGGCCTGAGGGGCACTTGTGGGTTGGGGAGACACTTCTGGCTCAGGAAGTCCCTTGTGGGGCTGGGGGAACACTTGTGGGACTGCCACCCCCTCTGACACGCAGCCCCCCCTAGGCCCTCTTGGGGACCCCCTCCTCTGGATGCTGCGATGCCACCGCCGGGCCGTAAGGGGACACCTTCGGTAGGACATCCCTGCCCCCAAATTTCAGGGCTCTGCTCCTGTGCCTCCCTCGGGTCCTCCTAACTCCCCATTTGCTCTCCTTCTCCCCCCAGGGCCATTGAGACCCTCCTGGAATGCCCACCTGAGCACCCCCAACCCATGGTGGGGCCAATAAAACAATGACACCTCAAGATTGTACCAGGGAGCTGGGGAGACTCCCAAAACTCCCTCCCTTACCTCCCCCACCTTTGGGACTGCCCCAAATCCCCTCTCCCCCCAAATGTCCCCAAGAGCATTTGGAGGGTTCTGGGGGCTCCAAAGCAGCTGTTGGTGGGGTGCTGGGTGTCTCTAGGGTGTCCGTGAGGGTCTGTGGGGTGTTTGGAGGGGCTCTGAGGCTGAGGAAGGGATTTGGGGGTTTATCAGGAGCACTGGGAATCAGGAGGGGTTGGGAGGGCACTGGGTGTCTTTAGGGCGTCTAGAAGCGGTCTATGGGATTTTTGGGGGAGACTCTAGGAGTGCTGGGGAAAAATCTGTGAAAGGTATTGGGGGTCCAGGAAGGGGTTTGGGGGGACGCTTGGGCTTTGGGGCATCTTTAACGGTCCGGGGTCTGTGGGATGTTTTGGGGTTCCCGGGACAGTGTTGGGGGGTCTGTGGGGACTAGGAAGTCTATAGGGGCGCCTGGGAGCTTATTGGGCGCATCGGGGCGGGGAACCCCCAAACCCGTGGGAGTGGGGCTCACCTGTCTTCTTCACCTTCACACGGCCGACGTGGCGCCGGGAGGTTCTGGTGTCCCTCCGCCGCTGAGGGGGTCATGGGGGTCACAAGCTCCCTCTGAGCCCCCAAAAATCCCTCGTGCCCCCCACCTCCCATTGGCCGCTGGTTCCGCGCCAGTTTACTCACTTCCTGGACTACAACTCCCGAAAGACCGCGGGGCTCCGTAGGACGCCGATAGAGCTGGGACTGTGGTTCCCGTCATGCCCCGCAGCCCATGAGAGGCCTGTTAGCGCCGGGACTGTCCCCTAAGTACCGTCCCAGCTGCTCTCCAGGTGCTTCCCTGAACCGTAAGTGCGCCCCGGGGCCCCGTAAGTACCCCTAAGTTTCCCTCTCCTGATCCCCAAGTGCCCCTCCGGGTCCCGAAGTCCGCCCGTCCCCTACTTGCCCCCAAAATGCCCCCTGTGTGTTCCCTCGGACCCCCAGGTGCTCTCCAGCTGCCTCTCCAGAGCCTTTAACGATCCCGCAAGCACCCCCAGCTGGCCTCCATGCGCCCCTCGAGTGTCTCCTGGGAATTGGCGTGATGACGACAATGTAGAGAAAGACCCTGACCCTGTTGCAGTATCAGCACCAGTTCAGCCTTTAATTAAAATTTGAATCAAAACTGTAATTGCCTATGTGGGGGATGGACAAGCCCCCCAACTTTTTCGTGCCACTCCCGTGGTCCCTCTTGGAGCCAGGGAAATTGCAGGAAAAACATTCCTGCATGTTGCGTGCATCAAAATTTCATGGTAATCGGGAACAGGGTCTGTGTGGTGAGCTTCCCTGACAGGCGCAGATAAATCCTGTCAGATGAAGAATAGGTTGAGAGGACTTTGGGGCCCTGGCGTATACACTTCTGTAGCCCGTCCCAAAACCCCAGAGACCTCCTCCATCCCCTACAGACTCCCCGGTAGATCCCAAATACCCTCAGAATCCCCTCAAAATGCTCCATAGCTCTCCCTCCCCAAACACCCTATGAACCCTCAGAACCCTCCCAAACTTCCGGAGGCTCTCTAAAATAACCCATAGATCTGCCCACTCCCCCACACCCCCTAAAAGGGACTACCCCAGGGCCTCAACTAGTCACAGACTGCCTGAGCCACTTTTTGGGCTGATATGTATGTAGGTATAAATCTAATAGAGATATAAAATATAATATAAAAAGGGGCCTCCAGGAGAGCTGTGGAGGGTCTTTTTCAGGGGACAGGATGGAGGGTGAGGGTTTTCACCTGCCAGAGGGCAGGGTTATATGAGATACTGGGACAAACTTCCTCCCTGTGAGGGTGGTGAGACCCTGGCACAGATTGTCCAGAGAAGCTGCAGCTGCTCCATCCCTGGAAGTGTCCAAGGCCAGGTTGGACAGGGCTTGGAGCAACCTGGGATTGTGGAAGATGCCCTGCCCATGGCAGGGGGTGGATCGAGATGACCTTTGAAGTCCCTTCCAACCCAAACCAG